TTTATAATTTGTCTTTGATGAGTGAAGCTTTCCTTGTGTCCTGGTCACCAGGCCCTTGTGCCATAGTATTCTTCCTCACCTTGGGCTCAGAGATATGGGATGGAGTTGGCTGATCATGGATGGAGTCAACCTCTAGAACTAACAGCCCAAATAAACTTTTCCTCCTCTATGTTACTGTTGTCAGATCTTTTGGTCAGAATGATGAAAAACTGACTAAAACACCCCCAAATTGTAGACATTTGATATTACAAGTGAATACATAGGTTACGAATATACTGAATGGGTCTTTTAAACAAATGCACGTGTAATTAGGGTTTTGGTTCTACTAAAAAAGTCTCAAGTTTGTAACATAAAAACCTTTATAATATGTTTGATTTTATTTGTGCTACTCAGGACCAAGTTTTCCCACTTTGAAATTCTTACACCTTTATTCTCAGTTTGGTTCCATTTTGCAACTGTCTAATGAGTTGGGATTCTCTGAATGCAGATTTCCAGTAAGTGAGTAATAGTACCCTTCTTCTTTAGTTCAGCAAACCTGCCTTCTTACAGTTTTTGTTTCAGGACGGGTCTGTGTGGTTCTCCAGTTCAACTCACCGGTGTAGCTATTCCCATTTCCTTCCTCCACACCCTCCATCTGTGTTACCACAGAACTGTTCATTTTCAGTTCAATCATTGGTTTGCACCCTGGCTTCAAATTACTCACCTGGGAAGCTTTTAAAACATACCAATGCCTGGGCCCCTTCCAAAAAACTTTGATTTAATTTGTCTGGGGTGATATTGTGTCACAGATGAAATCATTCAAAGCCGCAAAGGTGGTTCTGATATGGCAACAAGGTTGAGAACCTCTTGCCTGTACGTTACTGATCTTACTGCATTATAATATTTGTGACATTTTTCCTACCCCTGGAGCTTTCTGCACTTTGAAGTCTGAGACTATATCTGATTCATATGTGAATTCCAACACCTGTTGACCTTGATCTACCCAAAAGTTATATACAAAATGCTTTGTAGGGCATTCTGAAAGATCCAAAACACAAGACCACTATTTATTATTCAAAGAGAAGACAACCTATTAGAAAAATACCAGGCAATAAAAAATATGCCATTTCTCTGTCCTTGTAAATAAAGCTACAAAGGAAGTAAAAATAAAATATGAGAGAATCAAATCAACTTGAAGAATCAGGAAGGCCTAATGATGAAGGTAGAATATTAGGCTAAATCAGCTGTATAATTTTGAATTGGGTTACTTATATGCTTTTGAGGGAAGGAAAAGGAAAATAGTATGGAGATGAGGAGAAGAGCAGATTTTGTCTTTCTCTCTCTCTCTCTGTATGTGTGTGTGTGTGTGTGTGTGTGTGTGTGTGTGTGCGTGCGTGCGCGCGCATTCAGAACAAGGAAAGGAGAAGAGGTGGGAACGTGTGAAGCCCACAATAGTTTGCAGAGCATTTAAGAAGCAAACACAGGAGAAGGAAGAGATGAAGGCGGAAAGTCTATGGGGTGAAACCATGGAGGCTCTGAATGCCTGATGGATGGACGAACATGGACTCCTTCAAGGATTTGGAGCACCAGAGAAACGCACTCAGTATGTGTGCTTTAAGAAGATCAATCTTCCTAATTATCTTGTAGCTTTTAAAAATATGTTTGTACGTGATCTGACTTACATTATATGAATACCATAAGGAAGGTTTTTCTTATGCTAAACCCGCTCCATTATGTGGTCAATGTATTCATCAAAAAAATAGACCACTAAGGAATAGAAACATAAATTACTTCTGTTCTCAGATGACAATATTTCTTTAGCTTAGCTGAGAAGAAAATAAATGAAGGTGAAATAGCACAATGGTGGTGGTGGATCCTTCGAAAACAAGGCTTAAAAGATCTGAGTGTCTTTTGGGGCAGTCATCACAGGAAAAAGAGGCAAAAAAAGTATATATATATATATATATATATATATATATATATATATATATATGTCTATATATTTATATCTATCTATCTATATCTTTCTATCTATCTATATCTATCTATATCTATCTATATATCTTTCACTTCAGGTGATTCTCTGACCTTCATTATGTAGTTTTTCACTTTAAGTGTGATCTACTCATTTTATATAGTCAGGTTTACTTTGCCACATTGTCTTTGACTGACTAATGCAGTATTGGCTGCTAAAAGGGGCTCCAGAAAAAGCACTTTCATGGTGCACCCACTTTAGGTATTACTTCTTTGCTCAGGTTAACTTTTAACTTAACAAATAGGCCAATACCATGTCGCCTCTGTATTGCCTCAGCATGTCAAATCTGACCCATATACTACCCTATGGAGAGGTGTGCTAAGATCCATGCTGTTAATTTTCAAGTGATTTGTTTAATTTTGTAAATAATTAGGAAAACAGTGGGATATATAACACATGTAAGAAATCAATGTTTACAAACGTCAATCATACTTTTCTCTTACTTTTATTTTATATTTATCCTACAGCTCTATGTGTTTGTGTTTAGATTAGAGACCCAGTGAGAAAATAAAAAATAGTGAATAATTCAGGTATCAATGCATACAGTTAAAACTCAAGAAATATTATTCAGGGTCCAATCATGCAACTCAATATTTGTACTTGCTAAAAGTGTATTGTGATATTTTATAAAACTATAGTGTTATGTTCCATGTCTCACATTAAAATTGTTTCTGGATACTCTGTGGACAGTCTGATAATTAGGTTATGCACTTTGAAATTTGATTAAAAAAACAAAATTATTGTCAATTCTCAATTTAGAGACTTCTAGTCTTACACAAGATGAAGTAAACACAATCTATTTCACTTCTCCTGATATTCACAATAAAATACTCTAGACAAAATACATAAGTCACATCAAAAAGCTCTAAGAAGTAGAGGGGAAATATGTTGGCTAGGTCCTTAGGGATTAGAAATGATATGACAGTGAGCTCTAGGTTTTTTTCCTCCTAAACATCCCAACTTGAATTTCAGAGAAGCTCTCAATGCAGCCAAATGCCACCACCAACAATAAAAATAGCACCTGAGAAAACCAAATATCTAGAAAAAGGGTAGCCCAATGGATCATTTATCTTTTAACCACCCCTGTCTGTTTTGGGGGTGAGAAATCCACAAAAATCCAAGTTAATAAATATCCCCCCCTCAATAAAGCCCATGTGCAGAACCTGTCTTCCACTCCCATTTCCACTTAGCATCCCTTCCTCATAGGGTCTGTGTTTTGGACTGACTTCCATCGCCCATAAAGTTAATAAGAGATGCCCATTGTCTGCAGAGCCTATTGCTGAACCCTGCCTTCCATTCCCCACTTCAGGAAGGTAATAGAACTATTTTCTACAGCATAAAGGTTTGGAGCAAGGGAATGAATACTGGGCAGAAAACTGAAAGAGAGGGAGTTTATTTATGCTGATGAAATAGTTCTGTAGAATTATTGCAAAGGTTACTCCAATCTACACATGTAATAAAAGTTTCAGAAACATATTTTTTTCAACCAAAACCAGAAAAACAAAGAAATTGGAGAAAAACAATAAAGGCTGTAGGTGAGTTAAACATATTGTACCAAAGTCAGTTTCTAAAAAAGAAAAATAGAAAACATATGTAATGTTAGTTTATACATTTATATAATAGGAAGTCAGGTAGTCAATTCTAACCGACTTTAAATGCTTTCTTTCTGAACATCGGGGCACCAGAAAACAGCTGTTTTATGTGACAAATGTGATCAAACTTTCAAAAAAGCTTGTTTTTGCCCTTCAAATAGATCTTCTAATACTATTGCTGAATGATTATGACTAAAAAATGACTCTTTCCCCCTAACTTTTTAAAATTTAGGTTCTTAATCCAAGGATAGTAACTATTTTAAAAGGAAAGTTACTCTTCATAACTGCATGATGCTTTTTTAGGGCTTCCATAAGTGTAGTCATAACCAAAGAATATTACTGAGTAAACTCAACTGGAGGGGGACTTGAGGGAGGGGGATATTCATACAAAAGCTTTATAAGGAAAAGTGGCTTTAAAAAATTAGAGACAGGCATTGCTATGGGTTGGATTGGGAATGCCCTCTGAAAGCCCATGTGTTGAAAGCATGGGCCCCAGTGCAAGGTTCAGAGAGGGGGTTTTAGGCCATGATTGGATAGAAGGGGCTCTGATCTTATCAGCTGACAGGACTACTGGGAGGTGGAAGAAGTAAGTCACTGGAATCATGCCCTGGAAGGGGTTATCTTTTACCTGGATTCATTCATTCATTCTCCCATTCTCTCTTTCTCTTTCTCTCTCTCCTCTCTCTCTGCTTCCTGCCTGCCATTAGCTAGACTGAGTTCCTCCACCACGCCCTTCTACCATGATGCTCCCAGAGCAAGAGAGCCAGTCAACCACAGACTGAACCTCTACAACTGTGTGCCACAGATAAAACTTTCACTTCTCTAGGTTGTTCTTTTCAGATATTTTGTTCAGAGTCATGAAAATCTGACTAACACAGGCGTGATAAAATTATAAACTGTAATAATACTTTGTTTGTTGTTTCATGCCTTTTCCCCATGGAGCAGGAAGTGTTCTCAGTTAATTTCACACTAGAGTTTCATTCTGATGTCTCCTTTTCAAATTGCAAAATCAAATAATGGGGCAGTTATATGTCCTGACTCGGGTCACAGCAGAAATCACTGGTAGAGACATAAAACAGTACCTATCCAGCTAAATCTCTGAATGCCATTTCCTGAGTGAACATGGTTGGTCCTAGAACATCACCTCTTAGCAGCATGGCTTCCAGGAGATTTACCTGCCAGCACAGCATTGTGTTCAATAAGTAGTTCATTCAGATATTTTGTTTGCTCTAATTTTTTCTCAAGTATTTTGGAGAAATTTGAAAACTTGGAAGTTACCCAGGGGGTTGGAACTGTCAAGGACTATTGGTTATGATGGGCCAAGCTTCTTTCTGAACCTTGGTTGTAGATTTGCTCAAAGGGAAGACAGTTTTGTTAATTCCGTCTCTACTTACTTTCTTCTTTCTGTTTCAAATCTATGCAGTAGTTTCCGAAGACCACCATTCTTAAATCCCTGAAAATGGGCAGCTGGGGCTCCCACTGTGATGACATCGTAGAGAGCATCTGGAACGGAAACAGACAAGGAGTTGAAGGCTTTGCAAACATTTATCTCCTACGTGCTGTTTGCACTGAAGCATACCCATACTGTGGGAAGTTTGAGAAATTATTCTGTTTAAATTCGTAGGAATAACTATGAACTCTCATCTCAAGGGGGCACGAGAAACTAATCAATCTTTCTAAAAGCCACCTGTGCACCTAAACAAGTTATAATGTTTCCCTGATTTATGACTACATCTTAATTATATGCTACAGTGTAGAACAGTATGTTCTCTCATTCTTCTATATACTTACTGAGAAAACATGTTAATTGGTCTTTTGTGTATTTTACTTTATTGAGTTTTGCATCATTTAATTTGCAATCATATTGAAATTCAACAATAATGAACAATCTTTCAACCACATTTTACGGAAAGAAGAACCAAAATATTAATTCATTTTGGCTCAAGGGCAGAACAGAACTAGAGCATTTTAGAAAAATCTATACAGGGTCATTTTGCCAGTATATACTAAATCTTACACAATTTTGAATGTGTGCATTTGCAATTTCCTTACCTGACATGGAAAGAATACAAAAAATGACTTTTGATATATTTTTCAGCCAGATACTTTGTTTTAGCATAAAAATACATACATTTAAACTGAAAGTCAATCCTTTGATCTTGAAAGTCATCAAGTTGGATACATATTAAGTATGGCCTCAAAATATGGCATCATTTTTACATTCTAATAGAAAGTATCTCATAAAAAGAAGACAGAGTGATAGCCCTCTTGTTAAACTACATTTTATTTGGGAAACCTCATTTCATAATAGATCTTTTTCAAATTGATTTTGATACTGAGGCAGTTGGGGTTTTTTTTAGATCTCATTTACTGGAAAAAACATAAGTTATTTTGTTAGCCTTAGGTAAACACTGTAACTTCTTCAGAATTGCTCCATCCAGACACATCTAAATTTCATTTTTTATATACAAAATGTCTTCAAATGAAAGACTTAAGCAGTACTTCAAAAATGCAAGGTCAGAAGAAATATAACACCACTCCAATTGATCCTTCATAAGGCACATGCTGAATGATCAATTAATGGATCTCTGTGGTGGTAATCTGTGCCTTTTGAGAAATCACTGACAAACTACTAGAAGTTAACTCATCTTAAGATAGCACTGCATTAGATGTATAAGAAATTTAAATATTCTTTGACCAGGGAAATTTAATCAATAGCTGAGAAAAGGATTCAGGGTGTATATGGATGGGCAGATTGCATAAATGCGTCCCTTCTAGTCCCTGACAAAGTGTCACAGCTTTCCAAAGGGTCATGTCATACCCTGTGGTTATGGTTATAGTTTCAATCTAAAATGTCCCACAAAGGCTCATGAGTTGAAAGCTTTGTCCCCAGTACAGTAACGTTCACAGGTAGGGCTTTTGGGAAGTGACTGGGTCATGAGAGCTCTAATCTTATCAGTGAATTAATCTCATTAGGATTCATAGCTGAAGTGGAACCCACCCAGTTCAAGGGAGTGGGTTTTTGAAGCCATGACTTTGCGGCATGCCTTGTTGCTGGCTCCTTTATCTTTCTCTCTCTCTCTCTTTCTTTCTTTCTTTTCTTTTCTTTTCTTTCTTTTATCTCTTCTCTTCTTTCTCTCTCTCTCTCTCTCTCTCTCTCTCTCTCTCTCTCTCTCTCTCCCTCCCCCCCCCTCTCCCTCTCCCTCTCCCTCTCCCTCTCCCTCTCCCTCTCCCTCTCCCTCTCCCTCCCTTCCTCCCTCTCCTTTGTGGCTGCCTTAAGACAAGAGCATTGATCTACGATATATTCCCTATCATGATTTTCTGTTTTACCATGGGTCCAGAAAAAACAGAGCCAAGTGACCATGACCAAAACCTCTGAAATTTAAGCCGAAATAAAATTTCCCCTGTGTAAGTTATTTTTTTCTCTGATATTTTGTCATAGCAAAAATGGAAAGCTAAATAACAGAGTTACCAATGCTGAATTCTCATCTGCCTTCATTTATCTAACGAGAAACTCTAGGACCATGAAAAGCTGACTGCTTTGTCTAAGTTTCAAAAGACCTCAACCTTTGACTTCTTAGCCAGAATGAACAGCCAGTGTTCCATGGGGGTTTAAGATACCAGGTAGAACCTGAGTCCCTGGGTTTAGATCCAAGCCTTGCCATTCATAAGCTGGATGGTATTGAAAAATTATTTAACTTCTCGATGTATCAGTTTACTCACTAGTCAAAATGGAGGTAAATGTCACAGTCATTCAGTAAATGTTATCTATGATAATTTTCTCTACAAGAACTAATCCCACAGAATAAACAAAGGTGATATTTTAATTTTTACTCATTTCCCTATAAAACTAGGCATTTCAGTCTATAAAGGAAAATGATACTGAGGCTCAGTCTTCTGAATAGAATCAGCTCCTGTGATAATTTGAGTCAAAGATAAAAATACAAATCATCATGACTTTCCAACACAATGTGCTGTATTTCTACCCAAAACTGCATGAGCAGCCATACCAACAATACAAAACCAACACTAAAACCACCACTTGGACTTACAAAGGAAACTGGTCATTTATGGCAACAGGGATGAATCCACAAGGCTCTACATTAAGGGAAAGAAGCTGGTCAGAGAGGGGCAGCCACTCCACTCCCTGTGTCTGCAGTGTCTCAACAGTCAAAGTCATGGAAGCAGAGGATATAAGGGTGGGTGTCAGGGCATGGAGAGGAGGAAATGGGGAGTACCTATTCAATGGTCGTAAGTGTCAGTTATGAAAAGTGAAAGAGTTTTACAGAATGGCTGTACAGTAATAGTGTGTCATGTACTTGAAAATTTGTTAGGCGGAAGGATCTCATATTCAATGCTCTTAGAACAAGACTAACAACAATAAAACCAAAAGGGGGCGCAAGGATGCTTTCAGATAATAAATATGCCTGTCACCTTGAGTGGTGATGGTTTCACGGGGTTAGGCCCATGTCCAAACCCATCAATTGTATATATGAAATATACGCAGTATTTTGTAAACCAAGTGTACTTCAATAAAGTGGTATTTTAAAACCATATATCTCTCTAAGCCCATATTCCAGGGATTCCTAATTCAACTTCCAAACCAACTGCCTACAGCCTGTGGCCCCTCCAGCACCAGCTGACCAGAAGGTATTATGGTTTAAAAATGAGCGCCCCCCCCCCCACCCCCGCCAAAGCTCAGGAGACAATGAAGTCATTATCAGAAATAAATGATTAGATTATGATAGTAGTAACCCAATCAGTGTATTGATCCATTTGATGGATTAATAATTTGAAAGGACTGTTGTAGCAGTTGGTCACTGGGTTGGCAACCATAGGCAGGTAGGACACAGCTGGAGGAAGTGGGTAATTGGGGGCATGCCATTGGACTTTAGACTTTGTTCCTGGTGCCTCCATTGCTGGCTCTCTGCTGCCTGGTTGGCCTGAGCCAAACAGGTTCCCTCCAACATGTCCTCCTTCCATGATGTTGGGCCTCACCCCAGGCTGAGAGCAATGGAATCATCTGATCATGGACTGAACTGCTGAAACTGTGAGCCCCCAAATAGACTTTTCTTCCTCTAAGTTATTACTACCAGGTCCTTCAGTCACAGCAATAAAAAGTGATCAATTCAGAGGGAAAGTTTTCAGTGTGGTGGGGGAGTTTTAGTAGAAAGAGACAATGCTTCACTGGTGGAGATTTAAATTACTTACTTTTACCAAATTTTCAAAAACATTTGATGAAAAACAGGGTGCTTGGGCCCTTTGTAATGCCTTGTAGGAGGCCCTGAGGCTATGTGAGAGGTCCTGAGAAACAGCATTCTTGGCCTTGGGGTGAATCTCCGTCTTTAACTCATCCATGACTTCCTAGCTATCATCCAAAGCTACTTTCTAGAAACAGAAACTCTCTCTCTCTCCATCCACTTCATTGTTCATGGGAATTCTAGCCTCTCACGAATGAACCAATAGACTCAGAAGCATCAGGTAAAGGAAGAGAAGTAAGATGCTTGAATAGTCTTGTCTCCCCATAATAAAGAGATGATTGTATATAAATCTAGATGAAGGAGTCCATGTTTCTTGAAATCATTTATAATATAATGCCTAAGGTTATAACAAGCTGTTGTGTGTATTCTAACTTTTGACTCTTTCCTTTTGTTTTCTACGTATAAACTCATTCCTTATAAGGTTTGTATATCATATTTGTTTTTATTAGTTATGCATGATAGAAGAATGCATTTTGACACATTTTGCATACATGGAGTATAACTTACCATTCTTCTGGTTGTATATGATGTAGAATTACATTGGTTGTGTATTCATATATGCATATAGGAAAGTAATGGCTGATTCATTTTACTATTTTTCCTATTCCCTTTCCCCCTCTCCTTCCTTCATTCCCCTTTGTCTAATCCAAACTACATTAATCCTTCCCTAATTCCTACCCCTTATTGTGAGTTACCATCCACTTATCAGAGAGAACATTCAGCCTGTGGGTTTTTTTTGGACTGGCTTATTTCATTTAGTATGATGCTCTTTAGTTTCATTCATTTATTGCCAACTACCTTAATTTCATTCTACTTTATGGCTAGTAATAGTCCACTGTTTATATATACCGCATTTCCTTCATCCATTTGTCTTTTGAAGGACAGCTAGGCTGGTTCTGTAGTTTAGCTATTACGAATTGAAAAACTTGACACCAAAAAATCCAAATAACCCAATTAATAAGTAGGCAAAGGAAATGAATAGGCACTTCATGGAAGAAGAAATACCATTGGTCAACAAATAAAGAGAAAGAAAAGTTCAACATTTCTAGCAGTTACAGAAAATAAAATTAAAACTACCTTGAGATCCCATCTCACTCCTGTCAGAATGGCAACCATCAAGAAGACAAGTAACAAGAAATGTTGGTGAGGATGAAGGCGAGAGGGGGAGACACACGCACGCATTGCCAGTAGGACTGCAAATTGGTGCAATCACTCTGGAAAGTACTATGGAGATGCCTCAGA